AGAATGATAAATAGTGATTGAATATTTAAAAAAATTATGAGGTTAATAATAATAATCTGGAAAAAGATAATGAAAAGCTATTTGATGATGATATGGACAGTAATGTTTTTTTTTTTTTTCCTTGACTGTTACGTATTGTATCCCTTCTGAAAAAAAGAAATGTAATACACTGTAAAGTTAAACATGATTCAATGTAATATAAACAAGATTATGATAATAAAAAAGAACAAATATATATAAAAAGAAAGTACATATTTTCATTCTTACGGAGTTTCTTTCCTCATACAAATGAACAGTTGAAAAGACTTTAAAAAATCTGCTACTTTCCACGCACACACAAAATCCCTCATCTCCCTTCTTACTTCTCCTGATGACCCATTACCAGTTAAGGGCAAATTCTGTGGTCCTAAGGAAACAATTCCCTTGGTCCAGTGTACTCAGGATGGCAATCCCAGGTCTCTGTAGCAGCATTTAAATATCTTCCATTATAATTAACTGTCTTTCCCTCCATGGAGGTATTACGTGTAACTTTTTATGCCAAGTAGTGATAACATTAAAAAAACAAGAGCCCTGCATTCTGTGGTCCATCAACTCCATCATGGTTTTAACCTTGGTCCAGGTAGGTTAAATGGATAGAACTGTTTTCGGTGATCAGAGCTTCAAGTGGAAACAACAGAACATTGAGAGGAAGAAGAAACAGATAAATTCTGTTATTCATCAGAGAAATTGTAGTAGATTAACTGACAACTAAAATATAGAAGACAGTAGGATTAGCAGAGCCAGGCCATGACTTCACGTGCAGTATTGGAGACGTTTTCACCAGTGACATTTGTACAACAGTCTTGTGTGTGTCTCCTAGCAAAGACTACAGTTAAGAGTAGAGGATTAGAGAACACTGGGAATAAAATGTGAAGGATTTTGGACAATGCTAAAGAAAGTAGCTTTGATAAATTATGATTTCCTGGGCCATACACAGGAAGGAATTGTTGGACAATACAATAAAAACAAAACAAAACAAAACAAAGCAAAACTAAGCACTGAAGTGGAAATGACCTGGAGTGGCTGGAATCCAAGGGAAAAGTATATTGATTCTGGATTTGACACCACCTAGTTCTGTAGCTCCAGCAAAGTCATGTATTTTCCCTGTGCCTTGATTTCCTTCATCTAAATTAAAAGGAATTAATATTCACTAGCTAAGCTTCATTCAGGTCATAGCAAGCATGCCTTTTACCAAGCTCGCTGCATTGACAGCAATAAGGACAATTGTTTTGGGAGCAGGAAGTTCCAATACTTGTTCTTGAATATCTTTTTCACATTCTGAATAGTGTCCTGTGCTCTTTCTACCCATCTTAGAAAGAACAAACTAGTGGAGATACTTGTATGATGATTAAATTGAAGAATTTTCCTACACATTTTAATATTATCCAATAACTTTGATTTTAACTCAGTAATAAGTCACTAGTAACTTGAAACTAAAGTTTAGAAAGTAGAGAATATGAGTTTTTTTTTTTTTTCTGAATGATTCCAAGTGTTTATGTGAATACCAATGGGCATAGGTCAGTGCTTTGTGTAAACACAACCTTGAGATTGATTCAGGACACTACAAAAATGCACTGGGATTCAGTTTATCACCACTGATGAGTTATTTATTGTCCTTTTGTAGCAGTGAGTTAAATGGATGGTTTTACTCTGTCTTTGTTGAATAGCTGAGATTTAAACTACTATTTTGTCCCTGTTAGAAAGGGAAGTTGCTTAGTGAGTACCAAAATAACATGTGATATCCGGAGACCTCAAGTTTTAAGTGTAGAGAGAACACAAAAGGATATCATAAAAAGATGTTTAAAAGACATATTGAAAAAACATTATTTAAAATGACAAAATTTGTGGGCTCTTTGTTAGTCCACTATTACTATGCTATTTTTATTATTGTGTTTTGGTTACCACAATACAGGAAACACTTATCTCCATTGTATCTAAAGGCAAGGATATTAAATAGAATTTTATGGAGGAAGAATTTTGCAGGGTGGGATACTTATTAAAGAAAATAGAAATAATTAAAGGCATGTAATGCAGGCAAGGGCATTGTAAATTGAATGAAGAATGTGGAATGGAGACATGACCCAAAATATCTGAGTGTGTGCCTAAGGGAACATGAAATACTATTTAGGCATATGTCCAAAGGAATAGGAAGTAATTTATTCTAGAGCACAAAGAATAGAGGAGTAGAGTAACAAAGTTAGTTTTATTTATTTATTTTTTAGGAGATTTGATCCTTGCCTTAATTTGGGAGATTGATCGATCCAAATGTGATTACATATCTAGATGCTGAAGATGTAAATTGTGTAATTTTCCAAATCATGTATTTACCTTATTATAAAAGTGAAATTGATATATACTCACTGTAAAAACGTAAAATTGTAAGAGCACAAAGTGAACAGTAAACATTCTTTTTCCCTTCATTACTTTCTCAACACTTCTTAGCAATGAACCTTTTTAAAAACGATTTTAATGAACTTTATTTATATTATTATTATTTTCCAATTTGACCAGAGAGAGACAGAGAGAGAAAGCAAGCTACCAGGTCCGGGATTTGAATTGTGAGAGTCTAGTGCCCTTAACCACCATGCCACCTGCCAGCCCCAGGAATGATTCCTTTTAACAGGTTTTTGTATATCAAACTAGGCATTTTCTATCTACTTATTTTTTTGTCTAATTTTATTTTATTTTTTCTTTTATATTTTCTTACATTTAATTGTCATAAATCTTTATAGCATACAACATGGGTTTTCAAAGCCTGCATGCAGTATGTAATAATCAACTCAAGAGTATTACTATGCACATCATTTTCAACAAAAACCTTGCGCTCTAGTCTGTTCAATGTTCTTCTGAGCCCCTCCGCCTACCCTCCACAAACAGCACCTCTCCCATACAATCTTTGGTAGTCTGTACTTTTCCTCTCTACTACTGTCTTTGAATTGTTCAATTTCTGCCATAGAGTGCGGACATATGGTATATATTGAGCAGGGACATGATGTGTTCGTCTTTCATAGACTGACTTATTTCACTTAGCATTAGATCATCTAGATTGATCCATTTTTGTATTAAATTTTATTTTTAAGCTAAGATTAGATAAGACAGTGCAGGAAACTGACAACCTCTTCTCTGTCTATCCAAATAAGTACATTTAGATCTACCTTAGTAATCTAAATGGCTGCTTGGTATTCCATGGAAGGGATTTAATGTAAATTCTTTAAATAATCCCCTATTTGAAGCTAATATAAGTTATTTAACTAGTCTCCTAGTCCACACATTGAAATTTTTGACAGACTTTTATTCTTAAAAACAATGCTTGGTGCCAGCAAATGGTGTAGTGGTTACGTTGCTAAATTCCCACATGGCTGACCATGATTCAAGTCCCAGACCCGGTGACTTGAAAATCACACTGAGCATGTGAATGTGTATGCCCAAGATCCCAGGAGGAGAATGGAAGAGAAGGGATTTCAGTGTGGCCATACCCCCTGGGAGATGATTTCTTGCTTTCTGTTTCTCTGTCTCTCTCTGTCTCTACAGTGAGAACACATGCTCCATAGCAAAACTCTCTCTAAACAAACTCTTAAAAAATCAAACAGAAACCCCCAACACTTTAGCAAAAATAGCAAAGAATGTTATTTAATTATCCACTTTGTTCACAAGTACACATACTTATGTTCACAGATATTTTCCCTAAAAATTTATCTTGGCCCCACATTTTCCTATAGGAACTCAATGTTAAAACATTTTAAATCACTGTGAATCTAACGTTTATCTAGAAGAATATATGAAACATGTGCCATCTGAAAGATAATTATAAAGCATACCAGACTTAAAAAAAAAGAACTGAAATAATAACAGCAATAATCTGAAAAACAATGAAAAGCTATTTGCTGCTGCTGATGTGGATAGTAATGTTTTTGTCTTGACTCATATGCATGGCAATCATGCTGGAAAAAGAAATATTGTACACTGTAAAGATATATGTGATTAAATGTAATATAAAAAATAGAAAAAAGAAGTATAAAAATGAAAATACATGAGCATGTAAAATTTCAGAAAGCAATTCCAAGTGGGTAAACATTTCGTCAGCTTACTTTTTCACCACCAGTTATGATATTGCCATTTTCTTCATTTCCCTCCCAATCCGTTTCGTCAAATGTTTACAAATGAGTGTTTTGCTACTCATAAAAAATGAGTAGTATGCATTTAATTAAGAATGAATTTAGACATGTTTTTATATAAATAGGGCTATTTCTAAATCCACTGGTATTTTCATTCCTATGAGTTCTCCTTTACTTGGGATACATGACTCATCCATCTTATTCCGTCACGTTTTCACTTGATGTCTCGCATTCTTTCTTTCTCCCACGCTTAGTCACAACCTCCTTCACAGCACCCATGACTGTGACACTCTCTCCAGAACTCATGTCAGTGCCACAGGCTGGCACCCTCTCCTCCTATGTATTTCTTACCTTCTAAATAACTCTTCTTGTTTTCTCAATGTGCAGATAAGAGAAATTTATATGCATAGGCCTTAAAAATATGTATAAGAATTTTTGAAAAGAACTTGACAAGGCAATCATACATATGGTAGTTATACATTGAAGAATGTTCAAGTTATAAAACCCATGGTCACTTGAGTATTTCACAATGTAAATTTATAAAAAACCTTTTGGTTCATAGTCCTATGTAAACTATGACTATAAAATACTATTTAAAATACAACTAAAGTATCCATGCAAATAAGTAAAAGCATTCTTATTCTGCATAATATGTTTTTGGGAATAAATACATAATAGAGAAATATAAATTGCTTTGTAACCAAACATTGACTCCAAAGGGATAAATAACTCTGGTTTTCTGACAACTGTGAATTGCCCATAATTTGTCAAGATCAGTGTCACTTGTTCTAAATCAAGTTTCTTCTTATTGTCCTCTTTTAGGCAGCCTGAGAGTTGTCATTGCTGACAGAGGCAATGGATGAAGCCAATCACTCTGTGGTTTCTGAGTTTGTGTTCCTGGGACTCTCCAATTCATGGGAAATCCAGCTTCTCCTCTTCCTCTTTTCCTCTGTGTTCTATGTGGCAAGCCTGACGGGAAACCTCCTCATCGTCCTAACTGTGACTTCTGACCCCCACTTACAGTCCCCCATGTATTTCCTGCTGGCCAACCTGTCCATCATTGACTTGATATTTTGCTCCTCCACAACTCCCAAGATGATTTACGACCTTCTGAGAAACCACAGAACCATTTCTTTTGGGGGATGTATAGTTCAGATTTTCTTTATCCACGCAGTCGGGGGCACTGAGATGGTGCTGCTCACAGCCATGGCCTTTGACCGATACATTGCCATATGTAAGCCTCTGCACTACCTGACAATCATGAGCTCACGAAGGTGCATTTTGTTTTTAGTTGCTTCCTGGATTATTGGCCTTATCCATTCAGTGACTCAGTTGGCTTTTGTTGTAGACTTGCCTTTCTGTGGCCCTAATGAGTTAGACAGCTTTTTTTGTGACCTTCCTCGATTTATCAAACTGGCTTGCATGGAGACCTACACATTGGGATTCATGGTTACTGCCAATAGTGGATTTATTTCTGTGGTCTCTTTTTTAATTCTGATAATTTCATACATCTTTATTTTGGTGACTGTTCAGAAAAAGTCTTTGGGTGGTGTATCCAAGGCCCTTTCCACTCTGTCAGCTCATGTCACTGTGGTAGTTTTGTTCTTTGGGCCATTAATCTTTTTCTATATGTGGCCATTTCCCACATCACATCTGGATAAATTCCTTGCCATTTTTGATGCAGTTATTACTCCTTTTCTAAATCCTGTCATTTATACTTTTAGGAATAAAGAAATGAAGGTGGCAATGAGAAGACTTTGCACTCAGTTTGTGAATTACAGTAAAATCTCTTGAATACATGGAGGATATATGAATAGGCAAGATATATTATAATTTCAATGGATATATGTTAAATAAACTATGTTAAATTTAGTCAAAATGTTACTATTTACTAACATGTGTGGTCTCTTGTCTTTTTTGTTCTTTCCAAATTGAATTATAATGTCAATCTCTTGACTACTTGTCTATGAGACTTAAAGGCTAAAGATCATAGGTAACTTACCTCACCAGTTGTTTTACCTCTAAATAGTGCCAAATAGATTAGTATAAATATTAAACTATTCATTTTGAAAGTCAGCATGTGGCTTATTGTCCATTTCAAATTTTTTCCATTTAAAAATAATTAAATACTTTTTTAAGCCAATTTTTGCTATAGGGTACATGTGCTTGCTAGAGAGACAGAGACAGAGACAAGAAATGAGAAATAGTGACTCAGGGTGGATAGCCACGCTTCAATCCCTTCTCATCCATTCTCTTGTCATGATCTTGGGCACACATGCACATGTGCCCAGTATGAATTTTAAGTTGCCAGGTCCAGGCCTTGAACCGCGGTCGACTACATGGGAGTCTAGCACTGTAACCATTACACCATCCGCTGGTCCCATTTTTTTTTTTCATTTTAAATAGACTATCTTATTTGAAAGATAAATATTAACTTTTTTCACCTAATTTGTCTTACTCTACAATTGATTTGGATCTTTTTAGCTCATTATCTGTTATTTGTTGTTGCTGCTAATTTGACTTTTTCAAAGTCTAGTAAGGATACAGAAGCCATACCTTTTCTTTTGAAAGCAGAAAGCTTGATGTCAACATTGTTAAGGACTTGGTGATTTGAGACTCATGCCAGGAGCATGTGTGTGCGTGCCCAAAATCCTAGGAGGAAACCAAAGGAGAAGGAATTGCAGTGTGACCATTCCCCCTGAAAGGTGATTTCTTGCTTTCCCTCTTAGTATCTCTCTGACAAAAATCTTAAAACAAAGAAACCAATGAACACAAAAACAAAAACAATTTTAAAACTCTAATGCAAGAGATTCCAAATTGAATCAGTGCACTAAGAACCCTCTGTTTTCACCCTGTAAAAGAAGAAACTTTGAAACCACCAATCCACTTTTTGTTCTCTGAATCTGCTTTCTTCAACTCTTTTCTGCATATAAAATCAATTTCCTCTGCTCGACTTATGGTAACACTCACTCTGTCTGGAACTACAAATAAAAGTCAGTTAGCTCTTCGAACTAATGTGTTGTAATTTTGTTTTTGGAATGTTATTAACTAGTTGTTTGAAAAGAATAAACTCTAAGATTGTAGATATAGCATTTGTAGAAAGCAACTTTCACCTGTAGGGATGGAGAAATGAAGAAAAATTTAGAATTACTAAAACTTAAAGCACAAACAAACCCAAAACTATTAAAGCTTTCGGGAAGGACCAGTGGAGAGGAAAGTGAAATATCTGAAGGAGGGGATGCTGTCTGGTTGGTGCTAGTGTCTCCTAGCTTAGATGTGGCCCATGTGACAGGGCCACAACTCATGAGATCACTGACTAGTAAAGTTGTTCCTGAGAAGGGTGTGAGATGACAGTTCCTGTACCATTGGAAAAACTGCAACTAGATTTAGCTATTGTTTTGGAAAGAAACCAAAGGTGCTGAGGCGAAGCCTGTGGGTGAGTGAATCTTTGAGGCATGTAAGAAGAGAGGAAGCCCATGGGAAGCAAATAGGAAGGAGCGAGGCCTTTCTCCCACCTTCAGCCTTGCAGACTCTCTCTAGTGCCCTCTAATGGTAGAGTCTAAGCAGGAAGGAGCTTTCTTTCCTTACAAAAACACAAAGTTGGCAGAGCTCCAGCTTCTCTGTATCATACAGAGTATAAACAGGTTAATTTTTCGTTGACAAGCATCATATACTATTTATCTTATAACTTCAGTGACTGTCAAATACAGTTTAAATGCATGTTCAAGAAGGATTTTCATAGATAAAATGTATTCAGTTCTATTTTACATTTCTTTTTATAATCTTATTTCTTTAAATAAAACTTTTATTTTGGATCAAGTTTAGATTTACAGAAAAGTTTTAAACATAGTCCATAGGGTTCCCATATACCCCATGTCCAGTTTCAGTTTCTCTTAATGTTATCAACTTACATTTCCATTGTACATTTTTCAAAATGAGAAAGCAACACTGTTATCTTACTGTTAACTAAACTGTATACTCAATTCAGATTGCACCAGGTTTTTCATTAATATCCTTTTATCCAGAATCCAATCTAGGATACCACATTACATTCGGTTATCATGTCTCCTTAATATTCTCTAGCTTGTGACAATTTCTTAGTCTTGTTTTGTTTTTCATGACTGTGACAGCTTTCAGGAGTATTAGTCAGGCATTTTGTAGAGCATCCCTCTCTTTGAGTTGTCTAAAATTTTCCCTCCAATCTTGAGTTCTGGGTTTTGGAAAGAATACCTAAAAAGTAAAAATATCTACTTATCACAAGATATCAGGAGGCACGCATTTCCACGCGGTATCACTAATGATGTTAAACGTGCTCAGTTGGTTTATTATTTCATCCTAATAAAAGAGAAGTGACTTCTTAGATGTTACATATGGCTTCTGCATCCTTTTCTTCTGTTTAAGAACCCATTCCTTTACCCCTAGTATTGTATATTATTGCAGTGGCATGTTCCAGTTGAATATTTACATTGCTGGGGTATGTGGTTGAGGAAATTGGAGACCAGCTTATCTAATAGTTGCCTAATCATATGTAGTGTCTCTGAAGAATTTGGAGGTAATCTGGGTGATCAGACAGGCAGAAAGTGGTGCATATCCACACAGAGTGCTATGCAGTATTTAGAAATGACATACTAGATGTACACATAGAAATATGAGCTAGGTGGAAAACAAAAAGAATTAGAACGAGACATACAAGATTATTTTATATGTATATTCATAAAACAGGAATATATGTTTGATAATAATACAAATAACAGCAAAGTAAACCCACCTTGCCAGCAGTGGCAAGGTGGTTACGGCTCTGGACTCCTACATAACAAACATGGTTCAAGTCCTGGACCTGGCTGTTTGAAAATCAATGCCAGGTATACGTATATGTGTGAAGATTGGGGCAATGGTTCCCACATCAGCTTTCCAGTTCGAGTCCTGGCCCTCAAAGCTTGAGAATCATGCCAGGTATGTGTGCATGCCCAGAATGCCAGGAGCAGAGTGGAGAAGGGATTGTGTTGTGTCCATCCCCCCCTGGGGGGACACCTTGTCTTTTATACTTTATACACTTAATATATCCTGAAAGATCATGCTATAGTAACTTATAGAGTTATATCTCAATTTTTGTTATAACAATCTGAAAATAAATGTACCACAGTTTATTCAACCAGTCCTCTAATGATGGACACATAGGTGGTTTATAGTCTTGCAAAGTGCTTTGATTCAGCTGGTGTTGAATATTTCATTTAATATTTTTGGTTAGAATAACTTTAGGATAAAACCCTACAGGTGGATTTCTCAGTAGAATGTACACAAATAAGAAATTTTCATTGGTATTGTCATTATCCCCTCCATGGATTTTGTAACAGTTTGAATTCTCACTAACATCCTCTTTATTGTTCACATGCTATCTTTCTCTATCCTCTTCTCTCTCTTTTTTTTTATAGTTTATTTTTTATTATAATTTTTTTCCCATCACAACACACAAATGAATTTTCCATCCAGAATACACTGTGCATTGGCTCAATCAAGCACGTCACCATATATGTTCTCAGCAAATAGTTTCCCAATTCTTGTGTCCTGCATACCTTGCCTTTTGTTTTGCCATCCTAGATTCCCCATCCCCCTCCCTCTGTTATG